AGACATGTGTCCTTGGATCGAGGGGGACAGCTGGCTGTATTCAGGAATTTTTTCAGGCGGGCGGGTTTTTATAGAATCTGAATATTTTATAGAATATAAATTTTGTTTCTTTCTCTCTGTGACTGTGGGTTATCGCCCATTTGGACCCACAAATACCCTGAAACCCATAGATATCCCTGATTTAGAGGGAACTAAGCCCCCCCCTCCCCCAGAAAATACACCTCGTCCTCTGCACTGGAGGGGGGAATACACTTTTGACCTTCCACGGGGGGTAAGAGCCACGTGGATTTAACGGTTCTGTCAATATTCCAGAATGCTGTGACTTTCGATCACAATTTGACATATTAAACATAATTTGTAAGCCTTTTTCCTTTTATATTTTTTTGTCGGCATCATGCATTTTGAATGAAAATGTATAGAATAAACAATTCCGTAAAGTAAAAGAATGTTGATTTATAGACCAAAACACGTTAGATTTCAAATAGATAGAAACCGAATGCTGCTCACTCTGGTTTGTCAGGGTGGAGTGGTAATACGATAGGACACATTTACCTTTTTTTGTTTAAATTTTCTTCTTGGGTCATAATTTAGCAGAGTGTAAAAACAGTTATTTGACATTGTTTATTCTAAATATTAAAAATTGTATCAAAGCGGTTTTATGATTTGTTTCATGCTATAATTATACCTACACATCCCCCTTATATTGAAATTTTAATTTTCCGGGTACGGTAAGTATAGTTGGTCTATTGAATTTATGTCCTTGGATTATTTCAACTTAATATGTAAAAAACTGTTGAATTGTACGCCTGGCGTTGCCCCTGAAATAAAAATTAGATTTTTAAAGAATTTTTTTTATTTTTGAAGATTTTTTTACAGGGAGTGTTCGCGATAAATGAAAGGGGTATAGGCTTACTTTATTTATTTTATGATCTACAAGTTACTTTTGAAAACTTTATTCCTTGATTCCAGGATTTTTTATAATGAAGACGACATTTTTATATTTTCCAGGATTAATGTTCGAAAATCCAGCGCTGTCGTGAAAACAAGTTGTAAAATAAATATTATTTTAAAAATGGAAAAAATCGAAAATATTATGAAATATCATCTATATACGAATGCGTTGAAAAATAATCGATGACTTTGGTTGCAATATTTAAATGATTTGTTTAAAATCAAATTGATTTTTTTTATGAACCAAGTCGTATGTTGCAACTTTCTGAATTTGTATGGACACTCCGTTCTTCGGTACTTAAGTCTTTAATTTTTCGCGAACACTCCCTTTAAAGAATAAAAATCGAATTTGTTTGCCTTTTGTTCCTCCATGGGTACCCATGGTCATGGGTTTCCTAAAAAATGTCAGCCAATTCGGTCCAGCCGTTTGGCTAGCAATAGCTAACATATATATGTGTAGAGCTTTGATATATAATTTAGTTAGAATTTATGAAATACGTCATATGCTTACTTTTAACAATGCCTAAAATACTTTTGTCAAATAAAGAAAAAAATATAGTTAATCCGAACTTTTACCTTCCTTTGAAACTTTTTTCATTATTCATCTTTTATTAGAATTCTAGGAATCAAAACCACAGTTTTCAAGTTTTTTGCAGGACTTTGGATTATCACAGGCTTTGAAGTTTTATCCTTTTTGAAGATCAAACAAACCCTCTTTTATTCATGATATCTTTATTATAATCTTTCTGATGCAACTAAATGTTTGAATGTATGACGTCTACTATAGACTTAATAAAAAGTGACCCTTTGCTCAAAGGTTTACATGTAAGATTAAAAAGATTACACGCTTAAACCTTCATCTGATAAAGCATAAATCCGCACGTGACTTTTACTGTGAGAAACTCCAATGTAAAATTATTATTTAAAAAAAAAATAAAAACAAAGTTTCTTCATCGTTGAATAAACAAAGTTTGATTGGTATTGTTGTGAATCAGACATAGACTCAACTTGTACCTCGGCGCACAAGCGAAGTGGTTCAACTTAGTCTACACAGTTCAACTAATTACAACTGGTATAATTGGTTAGAAATTCAAAACGTTTTTGCTTTTTGCAATAGCTCTTAAATAATAGGAGTTATCGTTGAAAATTTGTTAGATTTCAATTGTTTACGGGAGAAATTGTATTAATTTTAATCCTAAAATTTTAATTTAAAACTTTTTCCTGTACTTTTAGTCAGTCTTGATATAAAATATACATATATGATATAAAATATGCATATATGATATAAAATATGCATATATGATATAAAATATGCATATATGATATAAAATATGCATATATGTTTTCGCTATTCTTTTAACATTTTTCTAGCAGCGCTAAACAAATATTTTTCTCGGAGAGATTAGAGTTAATGTGTTTTTTCGGTCCGACAAATAATAGAATATATTTGACAAAGATTTCCAGAAAATATCATGTTATCTTAACAATAGTTTATCAAACCTGCACGTTATATAATTCTGCACCATAACGTGCCGCGGTCGTTACCATGAACATTAATGCAATAGGACCGGGCACGTTTTTATGAGATTCTACACTTTTTATAGAGTAGACATGTCACTTTAAAAGTTGAATGCCACTTGAAATTACTTATATACAGCCCCTTTATACACTAAATGATTTTTTTTAGAAAAATATTACAATTTGGTTCGTACGTAAATTCCTGCAATATAATCTATAGAGATATCACACAAAATCCATTGAAACCCAAGAAGTAAACCCTCTCACGCAGAAATCAAAAAGTGTATTAAACCAATTACTCCATTTAAACTTAAGCTATAAACAAGCAAAATGCATTGTTAAAATGTATTTGTCTAGGCCCTAGGGCTACCAAAAGTATACGAATGGTGGCGAGGTAAACCCTAAGGTCCAGGCTTGCGATAATTTAAAGTCTGGCCTGTTTAGAAAATTAATGACTTTTTTGCATTAAATGTTTTGTAATTTCGAAAATCTTTTAATTATTCGATAAAACGAATGTAATGTTCGATTTTATTTTTTTTCTTTAAAAACCCACTCTACAGATTACATTTGTCGAAATAGAAGAGAATTGTAAATATTCTTAAATTTGTTTATGTAAATTCGAATGATTAGAACCTGGTTTATTTCTGGTTTTCTCTAGATAGATTCAATTTAACTTTGTACAAATACAATTCTTGGTTAACAAGAAACTAGAAAAGAACATGTTTTATTTACGAATTTAACTTTCTTCTCTGCTAAAACATGATTACTTCTACTTGGAACTAGACTTGGGAGAATTTGGCTGTTTTTCATGTTGTGCGTTTATTTTCGTGAACATGTCGTTCTTCTTTTCATTCACTCAAAGTTTAAATTCATTTTTTATCTATTTTGTTCGCTTTCTCACCGAACAATCCTTCAGTAAAATCATTTGGTTCGAAAATATCGTTCTTATACGTTTGAGGGTTATTTTCGGGACTAAGTACTATTTGGACAAAGGATAAAACATGGCTTTATGTGGGAATTCTGATTTCAACATTTAAAAAAAATTTTCGGTATAAAGTTCTTTTACAACAGGATATTGTATTTCTATTTTTAGTTTTAGCTCTCTCATGGTGGTGGATGTGTTATTTATTTGTTAAAAAAAAACAAGAGGAAAAAAAATAAAAAGAAAGGTTTTTATAAATGCGTAGGAGAGTTGAACAAATAGAACACAAATGCGTAATTTGTTCAAGGGCGTATACAGGGGGGGGGGGCAAGGGGAGCAGTGCCCCACCCTAGACCTATAACCTAGAACTCAGAGCTTTCACACTTTTAAAATCTTAAACTCAAGAGTAAAGAACATAAAAAAATTAGTTTGCTGTTTATTCAGTGCACTAAGAAGATTGTAGGGTTACATTATGTCATCCCCATAGGTATCCATGAGTTTCCTCACTAAAATTGAGCCCTATTGATACAGCCATTTGGCCAGCCATAGCAAACATAAAAATGAACAAAGAGCTTTATTATATAGATCACAATTGTACTCAAACTTTTTTTCAAAACGGAAACTTTTAAAAGTCATAATTATTTTATGATCTTTGTCTCTTTTTTAATCTCATAAACATTAAGTTTAAGTTGAGTTCTTTATTTTCAAAAATGTCTTTTACTTTCTCTACTTTAAATACTAATTAAAACAAACATGACAGTATATTAAAATGTCGATTTTTTAGAACCAATACTTTTTAGAACCAATACTTTTTTTCTGTTACCTTGCATAAAACACATGCAAGGTAATTGTCCTGTACTGTATATATACCTTGCATAAAACACATGCAAGGTAATTGTCCTGTACTGTATATATACCTTGCATAAAACACATGCAAGGTAATTGTCCTGTACTGTATATATACCTTGCATAAAACACATGCAAGGTAATTGTCCTGTACTGTATATGTACCTTGCATAAAACACATGCAAGGTAATTGTCCTGTACTGTATATGTACCTTGCATAAAACACATGCAAGGTAATTGTCCTGTACTGTATATACCTTGCATAAAACACATGCAAGGTAATTGTCCTGTACTGTATATGTACCTTGCATAAAACACATGCATGGTAATTGTCCTGTACTGTATATGGACCTTTAAAGCATCTTAAACTTATGCCTGATATCCAAGAAGCCAAATCTTTTGAATTTACCGTTCAAATTCCCCCCCCCCCTAGAAGCTCCTGGGGGGCTAAAATTTTTTGGCGCTTCGTGCAAATTTTGTCCCCTCCTAGATTTATTTCTGTATACGCCATTGGTTTTAGACTTAAGAAGGTATTCAAATAAAATGTCTATGGATGAGTAAAGTGGTAAGCCTATATAAACCAAAATAATTACCACTGTATAATAAAGAAATTGAGTCGTGGCCACAAACTCATTTTTTCTCATCCCTACATCTGTGCAACCTGATGGTGTAAACCTTTAAAATTTCTAACTCAGATTTGAATATATTGGGATGATAAAATCAGAGTTTGAGGGAAAGATTCAATTCCCTTTTTTATTTTTAGGTGATATGCGTTATAAGAGGGGTAGTTAGTGAAAAAAGTATAAGAAAAAGAGACACTAATAATCTAGTGAATCATAGACTTTATGAGTCAGAAGATATACCAGGGAATTTTGGACAGCTTCGTGATATTCAAGAGCAGCATCACGTCCCCTGGGGGGCAGCAGCTTCTGCAGCTTACGCTAGACAAGGCCAGGTGCAGCTTCAAGTAAGTTTTTATCTTGTACTAAAATCATTATTTGTACAATTGTCGCACATACATAAACAAATTTTGATTTAAATTTTGATTTATATCAAGCTGTTAAACAATGTGAATACACAATAACATAGTTGTACACTGTACAGACTACAGAGAAGCTTCCAATTTAAAAATGGTTTCTTGGATTATTTGCAATTCGGAAAAAAGCTTGTAAACAATCGAAACTTAAATAAAAAGTCGTCTTCATTGTATTGATAGAAAGAAAAAGAAAGAGTTTTGGAAATACCTCATTTAATTTAAATTGACTATCTATGCAAAGATGGCAAGGATCGATTTACAACGGTACCCTTGAAGAAGATACCGTCCTTTTTCTGTGTAAAGGAATTGAGTTTTTGTCACAAACTCTGATTTTCTTATTCTTAAATCTTTGCATTTCAACGTCGGAGACCTTAGATATTTCAAACTATGAATCATTTTAGATCAAATAATGATAGTTTAAAATATCAAAGGCTTACACAATCAGGTTGCAAAGATATAGCTATTGTAAAATCATAATTTGTGACAAAAACTCAGTGCCTTTCTGTCAATTTCTCCAGAGAAACTGCAAATGAAAAAAAAAAACAGTTTAAAGGAACAAAAACATAGATATCTACTTCATACTTAATCAGGCAGAGCTTACAAGGGTACTGTTGTAAATCAGACATTGCCATTTTTCCATGGAAGGTCACAAACAATTAACATATGATACACATAAAAATTACATGATATTGTTCTTCCTATTTCACAGTTTTCAAGGTCCTACTTTATTTAAACTTTAAAAATAATAAATAATAAAATAATATATAAATAATAAATATAATAAACATAATAATAAAATAATAAATATTAAAATTCACGTTTGTTAGAGAACAGCAAACTATCTTCAATCTCAGTATCAATCCCCGAATGATCGAACCAAACAGCTGTCATCTGAAAATCCGCAATTTACAAGCAATCAAACTCCGCCAAATATCAGGTAATTGTTGGAGGATCTCTGTTTTTTATTATTTGATTTTTAACGATTTAATTAATATTCAAATCAACAATTTAATAATTTAAAGTTTTCAAAATTGATATTTCCTAGGATAGAATTATACACAATCCATAAATTTAAAACCTTAGTTTAAATTACTTTTCAAATTAAAAATCAAGTGTTTAAACGATAGTATGGTGAATCTGAATGAAAATTCAAGTGTTTAAACGATAGTATGGTGAATCTGAATCAAAATTCAAGTGTTTTAACGGTAGTATGGTGAATCTGAATCAAAATTCAAGTGTTTTAACGATAGTATGGTGAATCTGAATGAAAATGCTTCGATAAAAAAATAAACTTTGTCACACAATTTTTTAAACTCTTTTTGGGGTAGGTTTTTCTAAATTCCAACAATAGATATATTTAGAATTTTTCTAAAAAATAGTTGTGATTAATTTTTTAAGGTTTTACATGAGTAAGAGAAAATGTAAATTTTTTTGATTAATCTTAATGTTTAAATGTGTCAAAATAATTTGTATATGCAAAAATATTTTAAAAACTTACACGATGAAAATTTCACTGTGTATTTTGTAATTTTCAATTGCTGCAACAGAAAAATCTCCCAAATGTAGATGGCACTGTTTTAAAAAATTGCCCTTAATAACATTTTACATTTAGAATAAAGAAACAAAGAAATTTCTCTTCTTTCTGGTTCACCCTGTATAGAAAAGAATTAAAACAGCGTATATTTTCAGAAATGAATGGCTGCCAGAAACCCGCAAAGTGTCAGATAATGATGTGGAAGCTTCCTTTGCAGAATATGAATTTGATTATCCAAACTCAGATCAAAATATCAAGGAATAAAAGTATATGATTTGAGATTAAAAAGTATAATAAAGTTTAATTATATTTCAACATGGTGAAATTATGTAATTTAATATTTTTGAAATTTTAGTATATCAAGAAATAAAAAAATAGGATTTGAAAACATTTTAGATTAAAAAGTATATTAATTTAATAAGTACAGAGCTGAAAACTTTAGAATGAGATATCCTTAATCTCGATTACTTAATCTGAGTATCCACTGGAAACACTTTTGATTTTCTTCTTAAACCGTTCTTTCTTGGATATAGTAGAGAAAAATCAAAAACCGGGTTTTTTAAATTTAAAGAGTCCCTCCCATTTCTGTATGTAATCTTAATTGGCGCGCAAAATTTCAAATTTATCGGCTTCATATACGCGACTATGATTGGTTGAATTTTATACACTTTTCAGGATACAAGTAAAACTTTACAAGATTAAGTTAGTCTCAATAATAGGCAAAATAGAGGATTAAGCATTATAATCTCGATATCCACCATTATAAAGTTTTCAGCTCAGGTTTAATATTATGTAGAAAATTTGTAAATCTACAATTTCAATCTATAAAAAATATATTTTTAAAGAATCAGTATTCGCGACACTCTGATTTCACCACACACACTAGGTAAAAATAACTTTTCACTTGATTTAATTTACAAAAAAAATAACTTTACAATCTATAAAATTTGATATAATTTAAATAGAGAATGCAACCTGATGACACCATCAGGTTGCATTCTCTGTTTCTTTGATATTTCAAACTTATAAATTATTTTGTGTCACAGAATTTATAGTTTGAAATAGCAAAGGTCTACAATAGTGGATTTTTAAGATGTAGGGATTAGAAAATCAGAATTTGTGGCAAAGACTCAATTCCTTTGCATAAGATTAAAATTTAACAAGATAAAACTTCTATTGTTAAAGAACTATTGAGAAGAAATGTTTTGTATTACTAGTTTGTGACCAAGTAAATTTTCCCTCCTTAGTATACCTCAAAGCTCGAAGGGCTTCGTGGTCACAAAGTCATACTCACTCACCCCTGACCCTTTAGTAAAAGTAAATTCAACCTACACGGGCAGCCATAGTACATTTGAATTTCCGAGCCAGGTCAACCTTTCCGGTCCCTGTTTGTACTGTATCGCCCGGACATTGGCTAAATAAAGCAGACACTCAATAGGACTAGCCCGTGCAACAAGGTNAAAGTCTGACCGCGTCAACCTTGTTGCACCGGCTAGTCCTATTGAGTGTCTGCTTTATTTACCCAACGTGCGGACGATACAGTACAAACGGGGACCGGAAAGGTTGACATGGCTCGAAAATTCAAATGTACTACGGCTTCCCGTGTACCATGGTGTCGCATGAATTTAACAATATCCGTATCGTATGTCTTAAAATCCTCTTGAAAAGTAAAGTTAAAACTCGAAATTTTTTTAATGCATCTCTTCCAATTACAGTACAGCATAAATAATTATTTGTTAACTTTATGCACGCGTAGTGCAATTTAAACATGAATTCAGCAAAAAAAGTTGTATAAAATATTCATTCAAAGCTTTCTGGGAATTGTTTAAATTCTCCTTTTCACAAATCAAAATCTACAACTATTCAATTTCTTATTTCAGTTTATAATTCTTAGAAAAATTCTTCAGTAAAATTATTTCACCTTGAAGAGATAAAAGTCAGATAAATTTCTACTACTGACGACTTTGCGCTCTAGTAAGAAATTGAAAAATTGTTTTTTTTTGCTTGGAAAAATTTCAAACCGAACTTTTTTCTTTTTTCTTTTTAAAACAAAATTTTTTTTTAACATGCAATATTTTTATCTAAAATAAATGTGGAATAAGAAGTTGACTTTTAAGAAAATGCATTTGCCATGCAACAACATCAAATATGCACAAAAGATTGAAAAAATTCTGTCTTCCTTTTCCACTATTTCATGGGTCTTATCGTCGCGTATGAACTCTTGTCTAACATTTGGATTCTTAAAAAGTAATCATAAAAATGTGAATGTGTAATGTACTTACATTTGTGTGTCAAATATTATAATTTATGGAAAATATTATATTTATTTTTAAATATTTTCTAAAAATCACTATTTTATTATTTGATGATAAGATTATCTGAAGTATTAATATTATGTTACCCAGTTCTAGTTTTTTGTTTCGTTTTTCTAATTTTTTACTTTTTTATTTTTTAGAATATTTAACGGAGATCAAGCAGGCTCAGCTGGTCGGCCTGCCTTTATTAAAGATCAGGTATCTTTAAAATAAAAAATAAAATTTGAAAATATTGAAAAAAAAATTTCTGTGGACCTTTTATCTGAAATTCATGAATTAGGTGGTCAAAAACTCAATAAAAATCATCCACATAAAATCGAAAAAATTCTTGGATATTTCCTCCAATTTATCTTTTCCACCCATTGGATATTTTTAACTTTACCTCTGTTGAAGAATCATTTTCTTTTTTGTCTCAGAAAACATTCTTCACAGATTTCTTTAAAAGATAAATATTTAAGATTAAAATTAAGATATTTTAAGATATATTGACGTCCGTGGAAAAGAGCACTTTTTTAAAGAAAATTTCAGATTTTTAAATTTTGTTACATTTTCTTAAAAAAAGATGTCCCAGGGTTGATATACTTTTAACCAAAAAAAAAAAAAAAGAATGTCCGAAAAAATGTGAAAAAGCTTTTTTTTAAATTTTTGACAAATATTTATATGTGGCACACATATGTTTCTTTCTACTGCAGTTTTCAAGAGATTTTAAAGTAAATTCTAGATTTGCAGCTGAAATAATTAAAAAAATATTGACTTTTAAATCATTTTGCAAAGGTTGTTTTCATTAATGGAGTTGGACAAGGTTTATAATATTGCTCAGAATGGGATAAAAAAAAATTAATTCAAAAACACAGTTTTTTCTAGTTTTTAAACTTTAAGATATCTGAGAGGAGGCCAGTTCCCTTCCAGGGTTTTCGGAAATCAATCAATACATCGCCACCGAAAGAGGTAAATTTTAAAGAAACCGAAAGAGGTACAGTGTAAAAAAACCTGATTACTCGGCTCCAACTCTAATTTTAAAATCCCTAATCCTTTGCAACACAATATGTCCTAAACCTTCGATATTCCAACAGAATTCTTAGTTTTAAATATACAGTATACATAAGAATATAACAGACAATTGATGGGAAAACGGGATATTACGCCAAATAAATCGTCTTCTTCTTGTGCGTTTAATTTGCAGCTGGGAAAGTATTCTAAGTTTTCGGTAATCTTAAACTTATTTTTCCCTTCATAAAATAATTATAAATGTTCTAACTAAATCCCTTTCAATGGAAAATTGATTAATGAACTAATATCAAATTTTCATCTAAAAATACTGGATAATACAGGGTAAAAACGATTACCCTTAAAGGGGCTGTAAACGATTAACATTAATGGGACTTTTAACTAGTACCATTAAAGGGACTGTAAACGATTACCATTAAAGGGACTGTAAACGATTAACATTAAAGGGACTGTAAACAATTACCCTTAAAGGGGCTGTAAACGATTACCATTAAAGAGACTGTAAACGATTACCCTTAAAGGGACTGTAAATGATTACCCTTAAAGGGACTGTAAACGATTAAAATTAAAGGGACTGTAAACGATTACAACACAACAATCATTACAACACAACAGTTATTACAACACAACAGTCACTACAACACAACAGCCATTACAACACAAAACAGTCACTAAAACATAACAGTCATTACAACACAACAGTCATTACAACACAACAGTCACTACAACACAACAGTCATTACAACACAACAGTCACTAAAACATAACAGTCATTACAACACAACAGTCATTACAACACAACAATCACTACAACACAACAGTCATTACAATACAACAGTCATTACAACACAACAGTCATTACAACACAGCAGTCATTACAACACAACAGTAACTAAAACATAACAGTCATTACAACACAACAGTCATTACAACACAACAGTCATTACAACACAACAGTCACTTAAACATAACAGTCATTACAACACAAAACAGTCACTAAAACACAACAGTCATTACAACACAACTGTCACTTTAAGAAAATGAGATGTTAAACAGTTTCTTACTAATAGAATTCATTACATTAGAATTATATAATTTAAATATTTATTTTTTGCATTAATATATTATTTCCTCTTGACGGTGAAAGTTTTTTTTAACCTTTTTTGTTTGTTTTTGTTTTACAATGTACACTAAGAGAACATGTTCATAATTGAAATAGAAGATGGGCGCGAACAGCCCTGTAAGCTTAGTCCGAGCTGCCAATTATGTTTGTTAGTTTTCAAAAACTTCATAAACTTCCAATGCAGTTAAATTAAAAATGTTGGGCCACTTCGGTTCAGCCTTAGTAAAATACAACAAATAAATAAAACAACGGTCACAACGGTCACATTTCTTTAAAATTTGTTATTAATATTATTTTAATTAGGCAACAGTTCTCCAGAAAATGACCGCGTTAATAAGAGAATCTTTGAGGTAAAATCATAGAATAATTAAAATAACAGATAGAACACTAGATGGTGTCAAGTAAAAGTAAAAGTAAAAAGTAAAATAATTGCAAGTGAGAATAAACTCTTTTCAATCCTTTAATTGGACAACTTTGGAGATAAACAAAAAAAATTAAAATTTCTAATATTTCTAATTTCTAATATGTAAACGCAAAAACGAAAATAACTTGCTTCTCCCATACTTGTACGAACAATTCAAATGAGAGGAGCTGTTAAGGTTCATAAAAGGGACAGACCGGCTATGTAAGGTATGGCTCAAATGAATCCTAAAGAATTTGTCCACTGCATACTCAGCTTAACTATTTTACATAGCCGGTCTGTCCTTTTAAGTTGTATAAATGATGTCACACACATTTTACTTTCTCCGTCGGTCTAGTTTGCATTAAATGAAAAATACAAAAGCAAATATTTCTTGAAGAAATTTTATTCAAAAGCAACAGAATATCTTAAATTGGGATTATCGATTATCGATATAATTTTAATGAAGACCCCCATTTAAAAAGAGCTGCATGCTTAATTCGCGACAGTACCTACTTTTCTTCCGCAACTATAGGCTTCATATAATCCGCAATTCACCTTAAGATATCGCACTTGGGCATTATCATTTTATCGTCTAGAAAATCAACGATATTTTCAAATCATTTTTAAAAAGTCGATCGTTAGAAATTCTTTATATTTTTTAGTGATGTTTTGTATGGGGATAGGCCTCCTATTTTCCCCCGAATCCAGGTTAAATATATTATCATATATTTCGAATATTTATGAATATCAGAATTTTATTTTTTAAAGTTTTTTCTTCATACTTTATTTTGACTTTAAAAAGTTTGGAGTAGTGTATTTTTTCTCGAAAAGGTTTTTTTTCCCTCCCCCCCTTTTTTCTCCTTCACCCCTTTTTCTCCCTCCCCCTCCCCTTTTGAACCAGAAATTAAATATGCTTGCAGGGAGCGGAAATTTATTTAGGGTTTTTCGCTGACTTTGGGCATATCAAAGATTTTTAAGGAGAATTCATTATTAAAAGTATAAAAAAGAATGACTTTTAATATTTAATTTTTCTTTATTTTCCAAAATCATCAAAATTTATATAACACTCCCTGCAAAACATACACCCCTAACAGTTTTTCTTTTGAAAGAATAAAGTACAAAAATATGATGTGGAAAAATCATTCATAATTACATCGTTGATTATTGAATATCGAAGCTTTCATTATAAAGGAACTAATTATTCTCCAAATTTTCTAATTAATCATAAATTAATCCCAATATTTTCCATTGAAATCGTAGACTTTTATTATTTTCAAAAAAGAAATTCTGCTGGATAAAATAAGAAGGGCTAAGAAGGCTCAACCCCCCCCCCCCTTGGACCAGTAAAATCAATGGTTTTCAGGGGTTCCAGGCCCAACAGGTTCTGAGCCCCCCTTGGAACAAAAAAAATAAGCCCCACTCTGGAAACATTCTTGAATACGCCCCTGAGAAAACTGGATTTTGAGATCAGTTTCCTTCATGTACACATTGTACAATTATACTGTTACAGTACGGACCCCTGTTGTACACATTGTACAATTATACTGTTACAGAGTACGGACCCCTGTTGTGCACATTGTACAATTTTATTGTTACAGTACGGACCCCTGTTGTACAGCCCACCTCTGCGTTCCCGTGCAGATGTACAAGAAGCTTTACAGTACACTTCCCAGTTTGGGGGTCCAGTAAGTACATATTTACAAAACAATACATAATACATTTTATAAATATTTTTTTAATTGTCTTATAAAACACTGTTTTTTTCAGGTAACGAAAGATGGTTTCTCTGCATCGCAAAATGTTAGATTTTTTACTGTAACTAACTGTTTCAATTTTTACATATTTTTTTTGCGCTGCAAAAATTAAGTTATAAGCTATATTTCTAAGGGGGGGGGGCAAAAAACGCTCTAAAAGAGGCATCTTAGCAACCCTTAACACTTTGCAAAGGAATTTAGCTCTTGCCGCAAACTTTAATTTTCTAATCCCTATATCTTTGCTATCCAATTTTGTAGGCCTTAGATATTTCAAACTATATATTTTATTATAGATCAAATTATACAAGTTTGAAATATCAAATGTTTACACCATCGGGTTGCAAAGGTTTAGTGATCAAAAAAATTTGAGTTTGTGGCAAAAACTTAATTCCTTTGTTAAGGATCTGGTAGTGACAAGACCAACAGAGGAGGATTGGAAAGTTATCCCTTCAAATCGAGGTAATTAGTTGTTTTAGCAAAAAACAATATATATCTTTTATATTTAGACGCCTCAAGATATTTATATATTTATTAGAGAAATTGACAGCACAAAATCCTGTCATAATTGATTAAGGCTTTCATCAATAATTTTAAAAATAAACCATGTAAAAATCTTATTTACTAAAAAACAATGTTAGCGACGAAGTTGCAAACAAAGGAGCGCAGTTCTGCAGGAAAGAGCCAACGAAACCCCAATAGATTCCGGCCAAAATATAACTTCGAAAATCCAATTGAAGAGGCTCAAAGCACCCCTATGGTTGAAATTCTATTCCCAGGTTCAAGTCTAAAAAACTATTCCGTGGATTTGAACCTGCAACGTCCAACGCTAAACAAACCGGCGGCCGATCGACGAAAATCTGAGATTCTACCGGCCAAAAGACGAGATCAAATACTGAACAATCATCGAAATCAAAATCCAAGTGGCCAAGGTAGACCATCCTTTGTGAGACCAAATCAAAATCTGCCAAATAGTCCAATTTTATTAGAGAGGTCAAATCCAAATGGACATGAGAGGCCAAATCCAAGTGGACAAGAGAGGTCAGTTTTATATGAGAGGCCAAATCAAAAAGGAAAAGAAACGTCAGTTTTATATGAGAGGCCAAATCAAAAAGGACAAGAGAGGTCAGTTTTCTATGAGAGGCCAAATCAAAATGGACATGAGAGGTCAGTTTTCTATGAGAGGCCAAATCCAAGCGGACAAGAGAGGCCGATATCACATGAAAGACCTACTTTCAATAAACGAGATAATCCGATCTATGTTGAAAGACAAACTGAAAGCACGAGAGATAAATCAAATCCCTTTTTATTGAAGAAAGATATCCCTACAACGTACCAACTGAATTATCAAGATTCTCAATCACAGAGGTATGAAAACTTAAATTTTTTATTTTTTCGATTGAAGAATTAATTTTGTTGAAAGCCAATCAATGCTTTTTCTGGTCAAAAATGAAAGAGATATCCATTTTTATTGTTTATCTCTTTAAAAAATGATTATTTTCAATTAAGGGTTTTATATTAACGTATAAACAATGAAGATAAAAACCAAACTTTATCTTCCACATTATTGATAGAATAAAGGCTGAACATCGACCCGTCGGTCGCAGGGTGCAATTTAAACTTATTGTTAAATAGAAGTTCTAATTACAAATAAAGTCCCTTAAAACATACTTACACAAAAACTTTTAGAAACTTTTATTTTTACTTTTACATTTCCTTATAATCTAGATTTTAATTAATATTTTAATTATACTAGTATTTGAATTATTCATAAGTTAAAACAATTTTAATATTGTAAATTGTAATATTTGTATAAAATAGAACAGGAGGAATAAAGGGGAATGGGGGGGGGGTCCTTGTTCAATTTAGGTTTGCATTATTATCTTTTTTAACAGAGTAAAATTATTTCAATTTTATTTTCGAAAATGTGATAACGTCTATTAAATATTTTGTTAGATGATATATTTTTAACAATCTTGTTTTTTGACGGTTATTGATTTGTACTTTTGTCTGAAGTTTTGTTATTTGATAGGTGTTAGGGGTCCTTGAAAACATTATTTGCAAAAATACAAAAATTGAAAATTTTATTTTAAATGTAGATATTTCATGTTTTTAATTTTCTTTCTGTATTTGGCAGAAGAAATTATCTTTCGATGGGACATTTCAGTTCTAACCATTTCGTGGACAAAAGGAATTTTGATTTTTTCAACTTTGCCATGCCAACTTTTAACATTTATTTTTTCTCTATCTATGAAAATATCTCTATAGGGTCTATGCCATATCATTTCAACAAGAACTTATCATCCAAACACATCCAAAAATCTTTTTTTAGTTCTGATTCGGATGAATATGGAGATTACTATGATGAAGATTATTACGAAGAGGATGCAGTAAGTTAACAAACTATTTAGAAGAATTCTCTTTCGAATAGTTTATTATATTTATCTTAAAGGGACTGTAAGCTTAAGTTACTCTCCATAAAGGCGGTAAATGTCCAATTCACAACGGTACACTTTTAATTGCTTTGTCTGATCAAGTATAAATTATATATCCAGGATTTAGTTTTAGTTTCTAAATTCATAGTTATTTATATGTTTGATATTCTTTTTAAAAACACCGTAAAGACATAGAATTATAAATATCTAATACAGATTATAGAAATCATAATTTAATTCTATAATAAAACAAGTCCCTTTAAACAATATCAGTCCCTTTAAACAATATCGGTCCCTTTAAACAATATCAGTCCCTTTAAAAGAAAAATTGGAATTCTTAAAAACAATATTTAAAATATAATCTCAATATTGCTTTATCAGCGATATAGCAGATAATTTCATGTCTTACACGAGCTAAACTTTTTGTAATTACAATCTATGGTTTCCAGTGAGTTTTCAAGGCTTAAAGGGTGCTAAACCTTTCTTGAAGGAACCCCCCCCCAGGCAAAGTCCTGAGTACGCCCCTATATATATGCTACACAAGTTAGATTTCTGCATAGCCTCTTTAATGTAAACAAAACATCTTGAATCAGAGGCGTATACAGGGGGGGGCCTAAGGGAAGTGAGCACTCAATTTTCAGAGGGGTTCCACCACTAAGCCACTCGAATGTAAACGAATGTTAAGCCCCATGGAAAAACTCCTGTATACGCCCAAGTCTTGAACGTTTATAATCGAAAAAAAAGAACAACATTGTTTCACAGAAATGTTTTGTTTCAATCTCTTTTCAAAATTATAAATGAAAATCCACAAAGAGAATAAAAAGTGTATTAGAGTGGAATTTAGACAATCCCTTGGTATGAATTTTTTCAGTCACTTTCAACCTGAAAGGGAGTTCAAAGTGTACAAATCATGTAAATATTTACAAATTATATGCAGTAGAGTACATTATTATATATATATATATGTTGCGTATATCTGTTTGACCGATTGGGCTGAAATTATTTGTGGACACTCATAAGTATTCGGGGGTTGTTATTAGCTAAAAAAATTCGAAGTTTTTTACCATTTTTTCCAGCATTTTTTTTATAACTTTTTGTATAACATTTTTAAAAACTTTTTTTTCAAATTTTTTTACACGGGCAACGCCGGGCCCTTCAGCTAGTTACATAATTTTCCTGCTATTTATAAGGGTTTCTTGTTTTCTGATATGAATATGATTATATATTGATTCAAACAACAAAAAGCTTTTTATGTTAACCCTATTAAGGCTGTGGGGTCTGAATCTATGTATAGCCTGGGGGGGGGGCGCGCGTTTGGTGCCCCCCTTAGAAAAAGGCCTTAGAGAATAGGTTATAGTGTTGAAATGCATGTGCATAGCCCAATTTTTCATGGCCAGCTCAAAGGAAAAAAATAATTAGACCGCTAGGGAGGGTGGAAAAAATGCCTAAAAAAGGGTCGAAAAATTTTTGTTTACAAAAAAATCCTTTAAATTACTATTCATTAAAAGTCACAACATTTCACGGTGATAGTGTCAAAAATGAGAGTGCTAGGACCAAAAATTACAGAGGGGATGTGCCAAACGCCCCCCCCCCCTGCAGCCTGTTTAGGGTTAACATCTATAGTATAGTTTAGTTTGGTTTAGGTTAGTTTGTTTATCTAAGGGAAAAGGATCCAAAATTAACCGATTCTGAAAATGGTAAATTCTAGCAAGTGCGCAGGCCTTGGTCTGCCATTTTAAATTTTTACGATGTTTTAATGATTTCCAGTTCTAGAGACATTCATCAACAATTTAACAGATTTTTCATTTTGATTTTAATCTTATTTTTATATATATACGGGAGAGAAACTTGCAGATTTTTACCAATATTTTAAGCGAATTTTCTTAAAATCTGGTGGAAAAATCATTAAGTAAAACAATTTAGACTCTTTTTTAAAGCTTTGAGCAGCTGTCCCTGAACATTTTAAGTTTTAAAAATCGACGCGAATCTAAACCTTCCTTTTTTTTGGTTTATCACACAAATTTTTGTTGTTATGAGAAACGATGCCAACTTTATTCAGCTACGCCCACGTGTCTCTCTGACATGTTTTCACAGATTTTCTCTTTTCTGAATTTCATGGATTTTCTCTTTCAGGGTTTAGAGGATCCCCGGAGAGCAACTCTTTACAAACAATCAGAAAATAAGAGAGAAAAGTAGGAAATACAACGCCTTGTCTAAACTAAATTAAATTAAATAAAAATAAAAAATATTGTTTAAAAATCTTAAAATGAAAATCTTTTTTCTTTAAATTTTTTTTTTAGCATTTATATGATCATCTTGAAACGGAGCAAACCCCTATTTCTTTGCAACCCAATATCGTATTTATATTTTAAATTATGTTAGATAAGAAAGTCTAAGTTTAAAATATCAACGGTTTGAACATCAGGTTAAAAAGCAATAGGAATTAGTTTGTGGCTTATTTCCTTAATTTCATAATTAATCTTTGATTAAATATAGATTAATTTAATAATCAAAATTTTCTTTAGCGGAAACCAGATTATTAGGAGAAGAGATGAATATAGCCAGGTTTGTGTATTTTGGATTTTAAAAAATGTCACATCACTCCAATATAATTGTTGAAGAAGAGGTCAAAGAAATTGAGTCTTTGTCACAATCTATGATTTTCTAATCTCTATATCTTTGTAATCCAATGCCGTAGACCTTAGATATTTGAAACTATGAATTCTGTTAGATGAAAAAATCTAAGTTTGAAATATCAAAGGTTTACACCATCAGGTGGAAAAAATATAGGTATTAGAAAATCAGAGTTTGTTACAAACACTCAATTCCTTTATGCAAAATTACGAATAGAATTTAGAGAATCTTACGTTCAACGTTTTAGCCATATCAGAGTCCAACGTTTTCAGATTACTTTATGTCCTCAGAGGCTCAGGGGAGGTCGATTAGCGATGAGAAAATTATTTCTTTTTAGATAATCCGCAATAAAAAAATAAATGTAAAAACCCCAAATATTGTTATTTGTTAGTTATTAAACAATCACAGGTTAAAAGATGTATAGATAGACGTGATATGTCTTTTATAAAAACCCCAATATTTAATTAATAACTTTAAACATGGTTGATCCGCGTAGACGTGGTTAAACCACTTCTCTTGTACGCCGGGTCAAGCTGAACTACCTCTTTGCGGTTCAACCATAACTCACATTTATTCAATTATAGTCTCAGAAACTAAACAAAAGATAATTAATCATATATTTATTTCATTTAAATATTAGGAGATTAAACTCTTGACAAGTAAAACTTTGTTTCATCGTGAATAGAACTTTGGCAAATTAAAAACATGAAATGTTAAATGTCAATAAATTCTCTAATAATTAAATGAAAATGCAGCGAAAAATTATTATTATTATAAAAATTTATTCACACACAAAGATTTAAATACATATATAAATGGCGTAGTTTAAATTTGTTTAAATAAATTTTTGAAAAAGAAAAGAGAAAAATATGCAAAATTATGCACAAATAGACAACATTGATCATTACTCATTACATAACATATTTATCATTTCAGTTATAATACTCCGAACCCACTAGAATTAGTTAATATTCACAATATTCAAAAACTATAAACAGTCAAGATTTCAGTATAACAATGTGAATCAAATCCCGAAAAAATACTTTAAAATTATTTTCTAATTTAATAATTCCTTTTACAAAAAATAAACACCTGCTCATATTAATTTCACTCTTTTCCGTCTCAAAGTTAAAATATTAAATTTTCTACACATCTAGTTTAACTGTATAATTCAAAAGTTTCAGTTAAGATTTGCAGCTTAGCTGCTTATCCTTCAAAAGTTTTATTTAAGTATTTGCAATTTTTAGTTTAGAGAAGAAATTGAGTTGTTGCCACAAACATAACTTTTATAGTTTGAAATATAAAAGTCTACAAAATCAGGTTGTAATGATCAGGGATTAGAAAATCAGAGTTTGTGGCAAAAACTCAATTACTTTCATGATATCACAGATATTTTTTTTATAAATGTTAAAAAGTTAAAAACGATAATATTAAAAAAGAACAACGAATGCTTTTTTTACTTTGTATTTTACAATTTGGGTTTATAGATAATTAATTCAACCGTAGTAAACAACTGTAGTATTCTTAGTATTTTCTATTTTTGTTATTTTTATGTAAATGTCTCTGTAGAAATAAAATGATAAGTCCAGAGAATTAAAACATTTTATATTTTACAAAATTTTACATTTTCTCGAAATAAGAGAAAGTATAAATTTTGCCAAATATTTCAAATAACCTGCCCTTTCATATACTTTTATACAATTATAATTCTATTTTGAAAATTTAAAACGCATATGTATACAATGTCACATGAAGGAATTGAGTCTTTGTCACAAACTCTGATCTTATAATCCCTATATCTTAAAGCCACCCAATGTCGCAGACCTTAGATATTTCAAATAAAGAATTCTGTCAGACCAAATAATCTATAAGTTTAAAATATCAAATGTTTACGCCATCAGATAACACAGATATTGGGTTTAGAACATTTGAGTTTGTGACAAAGACTCCTTTCCTTTCACTAGAAGAAGATTATTCATTTGCCGTACAATCCCGTTTTGACTCATATAGTCTGTATTTGTACTGTACTGCTTGCCCTGCCTGGTTGAAATTCGGCCCGGTACATTTAAAGAACTGGAATGTACATGTACAGTTATGTGTTCGATATAAACGAAATCGAATACTTTAAGTCTTAAATGTGGCACACAAAATTTAGACTGAAGTTCTATGAAATCTATAAAACAATTTTACTTTTTTCAAAATTAAGGATAACGACACTGAACTAATCTGAAACATGTTAAATTAGCTTTACTGTAAATTGCTAACACCTAGTGTGTAATTTTTTTTTATAATTTTTTCATCCATTATTCAACACTAATAAATCTAAAACCTAACTACATGTATATATGTATGTTTTACAAGTTAAACTTTCTCAAAATGATAAAATATTGTAATATTTAAAAGGAAAAGAGTCTTTTTAAGCAGCCTTGATAATTATTTTTTAAAGAAAGAACATGGAGTCGATCGTTAATTGACAACGGATTAAAGATTAGAAAATTCATAATTTTTTTCTCAGGACGAAATTGATGGACTCCCCCTGGACTTTTGGGAAGAGAGTGATGATGATCATGATGATAAGGATCATCACCATGATCAGCACGATTATCGAGATCGATGGAATAACTTGAAACAAGAGGAGGTAGAATAACGAAAGAAAAATTTAAATTATTAAAATAATTTTCAATAATGATTCCTTCGTTAAAATTCAATGCCTTTGAACAAAGAGAAAAATATGTTAAAAGAACAAATTTTTAATTAAAACTTTCCAAGGAAATATTGCGCAGAGAGCAAGATCGACAAAAGATGGAATCAGAAAATTCTGGGAGAAGGAGAGGCAATGAACCTCAGAGTTCAGATTCGTGGAACTCTGACTCCGACAGTGGTTATAACTATGATTATGAGAGTTCTGCAAGCTCAACAATTAACCATCCGGAGATTTTAAACCCTACAGTATTGCAATATAACCCGGAGAATACGAACCATAAACCCAACCCTACAGTACTCCAATATAACCCGGAGAATACGAACCATAGACCAACCCCTACCGTACTCCAATCTAATTCAGAGAATACTGATCATAAACCCAACCCTACTGTTCAAAAACATAAACCTCAAAACATTCGGCGGCGAAGAATAAGTAAGACCGAGCTTATAAAGAGCAGGAACTTTAAATCTAGAGAAACAAGCACAACAACAACAACTACTACTACTACAACTACAACTACTACAACTACTACAACTACAACAACAACAACATCAACTACTTCTACTACTACAACAACCACAACAACTACAACAACTACTCCACCTCCCAAAAGGTATATGGAGTATAACCAGGTTGAAATTATTTTAATTGAAATATCTAATCTCTCTTGCATCAACAAAAACAACTATATAAAAAGAAATCAGAAGCTAAGCAGTAGTAATAAGGAGAAAAATTAATTAATTAACTCAAAATGATTTTTATGGGACTGATTTTGATAATGAGTCTTGTAAAACTTATTTTTTTCAGAATAACTGTCACTGGGTTTCAGCCATCTCACAGAGACAGGTTTGTATATTATACAGTTTACATTATAATTCCTTTTGGTCTGTAATATTTGGAAGATAGACTTTTTTAACTTTTCAAGAATGTAGACACAAATACATAATTTCAAGTGACCCTCCATTATAAACTGTCACAGTTCCGATTCTATATGATAAACACCTATCTGAGTGACAATGAGAAAGAGATAGAGGTATACTGAAAACGTGTTGAATTTTGGAAACTTCCTACATCGTTTGTGTTTGCATAACCCCGCAAGCCATTTTTATAAAGAAATCACAATGGCAAATAGCAAATTTTTAAGGAAAAATGAAGTATATTTTATTTATCCTTGATCAGACAAAATCCTTTCGACATCTGTAACAAAAATAACGCTTTTTAAAATTTCAAATGTGCAGCTTTACTTTTTCCTGACTTTTAACCTTCTTATTGACAAACAAGATATCTATTTTTAAATGAATGATATCTTAAACTGTGGTTTATCTATCAAAGTGACTTGTGGATTTTTGCACCAGGGACGACATTAGATGAAATTGTCAGAATTAAACACTTTTTCTGAAGGAAAAACGACGATATCCTCCTTTTGGGTGCTCAAATCATCGGTACCGTCGTGCTTTAAGCTTGTCCCTCTCCTTTAAACAATATCAGTCCCTTTAAACAATATCAGTCCCTTTAAACAATATCGGTCCCTTTAAACAATATCAGTCCCTTTAAAAGAAAAATTGGAATTCTTAAAAACAATATTTAAAATATAATCTCAATATTGCTTTATCAGCGATATAGCAGATAATTTCATGTCTTACACGAGCTAAACTTTTTGTAATTACAATCTATGGTTTCCAGTGAGTTTTCAAGGCTTAAAGGGTGCTAAACCTTTCTTGAAGGAACCCCCCCCCAGGCAAAGTCCTGAGTACGCCCCTATATATATGCTACACAAGTTAGATTTCTGCATAGCCTCTTTAATGTAAACAAAACATCTTGAATCAGAGGCGTATACAGGGGGGGGCCTAAGGGAAGTGAGCACTCAATTTTCAGAGGGGTTCCACCACTAAGCCACTCGAATGTAAACGAATGTTAAGCCCCATGGAAAAACTCCTGTATACGCCCAAGTCTTGAACGTTTATAATCGAAAAAAAAGAACAACATTGTTTCACAGAAATGTTTTGTTTCAATCTCTTTTCAAAATTATAAATGAAAATCCACAAAGAGAATAAAAAGTGTATTAGAGTGGAATTTAGACAATCCCTTGGTATGAATTTTTTCAGTCACTTTCAACCTGAAAGGGAGTTCAAAGTGTACAAATCATGTAAATATTTACAAATTATATGCAGTAGAGTACATTATTACAGTATGTTCCCTAGACTCTCGATTTCAATTTCGATTTTTTTAAAGCTGTTAAATAAACTTTATAATGAATTAGGCGAATAAAAAACATCATTTGATTTACAGTTATAACGGAAAATCATCGTTTGTAAAGTGAAAGGCATAGAGTCTATGTGAAATGATCATTGGTCAATTATGAAACCAGCATATTTCATAATTTGGGTTTCTTTTAATATTTTTAAAAGATTTTCTACAACATAATGTTCCAGGGCCCAAAAGTTTATATAGCACAAATATGTGAAGTACACCGCAGTATGGAAAAAGTACAACCAAATGGCCGTTTTACAATTTTTTCTAGTAAATTCCACTCTAATATATATTCTATTCTCTTTGGTTATCCACAAAGGATAAGAATGCTGTGACAACTGTTCTATCTGTTTCCTTACATTCATGATTCCCTGCAACTAAAACTCATTTCTTTCTTTGCAAAATCGTTAAACAAACCATTAAAAGATTATATTCAAGAATTTTAGATCGTCTTTACCGTCTTCTGTTTTGTGGTTAACCCCTGTAATAATATATTTTAGGATATTTAATCCTTCCGCACCGACTGCTGCACAATACAATACAATTACAAAAGTGAGTAAAATTTGATTTATTAAATATAATTGAAAACTTTTCTTAAATATCATTATATTTCACCAATTGTAAGTTAAAGAGACTTTTGGCGTGATGCGTTGCTAGTTTTATTTTACTTAAGTTTAGGAGACTTTCATGTAATTCTGGTACCTTGTTCTGGAAAATTCCGGAACGATATCCCAGAACATTCATACGCTATTTCACTATTGTTTTAGGTGCCTAGTTTAATTGGTAGAATCCAAATACCCGCTTCCCCCCTTATACAGGTGAATAATAAAATACTGTGTTCTCCGTAGAACAGTATAATAGGAAGACGACTGTTAGAACTCAAGCATTATCAAGTTAAATAGTTAATTAAACAAAATGTATATCAATTTAAAAGTGTACATATAGACCCATTTCACTTAAAATTCATGTTCAAGCAGCTGGTAAAAACTTTTTGATTTAATCCTATAAAGGGTGGGGGGTCTGAATCTATGAATAGCAAGGGGGGCGTCCCGTCCCACGCCCCTTATAGAAAAAAAAGCCTAAGAGAATAGGAATAGGGTTGAAATGCATGTTCATAGCCAAATTTTTCATAGCCAGCTCATTGCAAAAAAAGACTATATGGAGAACTATAATAGTTTTGGTGCTATAAAGAGGGTTGAAAAAATGCCAAAAAAAGGGTTTTAAACAAATATCAAAATTGGTTACATGTTTCTACATCCATTTTTCAAGGGCTTTTCAAAAATATAGTTTTTAGATCTGTAGCTGTAGTCGCAAAAAGTTTTTGGCTATTTTAGATTTTTTTACATTGACCGGACTTTTCACCGCCCTGTAGTCTAACCTACGCATTAAAATTTTTTTTTTTTAAATCCTTTAAATTTCAATTCATTAACAGTCACAAAATTTCACTGTGATAGTGTCAAAAATGAGAGTTCATAGGACAAAAAAACTATAGGGGAACCTGTTTATGGTTTGACAACATTAAATACACATATTGCTTTACTCTCAACTTCCTATTCCACAATTTTTAGAATCTCATTGTCTCAATAATTTTTAACTCTTAATTAAAAGCTGTACGTGATCTGTTGAAAAGAATACATATTAATAAATTCTGTTAAAGATCTGAATTCTCTTTAAACCTTTCAGCCTTGTTCATCTTGTTTTAACGAGCAGCTTTATAATATCCTTGTTAAAAATATTAAATTCAAACTAGTTTTAAAACTCTCCAGTAGAATATTCATTCAAAGCCATTTCGCGCAGGGCAGTCATTTCAAATTTAAGTTCAATTAAATTAAAACACTTTTTTATAAAAATAAATTAAGATTATGGTTTTTTTTAGCAGTTGTAAAAGTTGCATTATTTTTATCAGATAAAAGAATATTTGTTTTTATTAATAATTAAACAGTCGTACAGCCATAAGGCTTAACTATGTCGTAATTAAATTTAGAAAAGCGCTGAGTAAAGAATCAAGCCTGATATGGGGTTCCCGCCACCGCACACTTCTCGCTCCGTGCGAAAGTCTTAATAAATAATTAACAAACTCAACCTTACATATTTAAAACTTTAAACTTAGATTATTTTATCTTAGAGAATTCATAGTTAGAAATATCTTAGATCTACAACATATTGTGTTGCAAAGATATAGGAAAAATCTGAGTTTGTAGCAAAGACTCAATTCTGTAGAAGAAAACTTTTAACTCTTAAGGAATATTTTTCTTTTGACAGAGTTAAGAGAAGAAAACTTCATAAATAATATTTATTTTAGAAAACTGCGTATGATCAGAAAATGATTATTCTGGGTGATCCCAAACTTACCGGGATCAATCGATCCATATATCAACCTAGTCCCAGGAAAATATTTGTTATTTAATGAATTATGAGTTAAGGCTACCAAATTCATTTTAATCTTTTATGACTTTCAGTTATTTTCTCTTTTTGGAAGAGTATGATTTTTACAAGGTCTAAATTTCTCTGTAAATGTCAAAAAAAAACGTTCCAACCCAAACTCAAACTTATGTCTATCTTAAATGGTAAACTTAGATAATCTTTTCTTAAAATTTTTCTATAAATTTCAGAGTTTTAAAGTTAACCCCCCCCCCCTCCATGAAATTCCTCCCACCTTCATATTCTTTTATTTTTAAAACTTTTTGTTATATTTTAACTAAAATATAAAGCTTTGGTCGTAACTTTCTATCATATTTGTTCAATTAAAAGTTTTCTTGAAAAAGTTAATATCAATCTTAAAATTGTTTTCTCCTCGATCATTGGAGGTAAAACCTTGAAGAATAATAAATATTGAGCTAGGGATCCAATAGAAGATGTATCAAGGCTCAAAACTTTACAGGAACTTACGTTTAGGCTCTAAATCATGCATTGTATTATATTACAGTATAGTTATTTTACAGAAAATAAAAAATAAAAAAGAATTAGTTGATTTTCTAAAATTTATTCCTAAGAATTTTTCAGTTTTTTTTTCTGCTAAATGTAATTGATAAAAAAATTGTTGCTAACTTTTTAGCTATATAATTCAGCAAATTTTCTCCTTATATTGAAATATTGCTAAAATCTTAAACATCGACATTTTTGCTAAGACACAATTTTTAATCACGACCCACCATACACCTTCCCTAGGGTCATATCAGTCACCACACAAAGGAATTGAGTTTTTGTCAAAAACTCAGATTTTATAATCCTTAAATCTTGCTAATCCAATATTGTAAACCTTAGTTATTTCAAACTATAAATTCTGCTAGATCAAATAAAATAAGTTTACAACTTCATATTGAAAGACGGGATTAGAAAATTTGAGTTTGTAGCAAAGACTCAATTCCTTATAGATTTTTTTAAACGTTTTTTCAGTTCAACAGTTATTTCTCTAGGGTAGAGGGGGAGGGGCGGGCTTGGTAAATTCTTAGAACAAGGAAATGTATATTCGTACATATCCTTTCTAATTAAAAAGAGTATATATAGATAAGATAGATAATTTAATCAATGAACATAATTAACAGAAACCACTCTACTCAGAAAACTGTTTTTTTTTTTAATTTAACTAAATGAAAAACATTTTTATTTGATAATTTAGTACACACATATATATAGTTACAAAATACATTAATATGTACAACAATTCTTTATATGTAATAACGAGCAGATACAAACATTTTCTTACATAACTTTGGATTTTTGAAAAACGAAAATAAACATAAAAATTATGTTCTGCCTTAAAACTTTGCGTTTTTTTTCGACATTGTCGTTTTCTTTACGTTTTTTTTCGATGGATATGGACAGAATATCAAAAAAACTAAAAAAAAAACTTTATGATTCACTTCAGATGAAAGACAATATAGTTGATGTTAAAACTGTCAAATGTTTTTGAACTGAGACTAATAAGAAATAAAAATTAACAGAAAGGAATTAAGTCTTTGTCACAAACAAAAATTTTCTAATTAGATTATTTTATCTACCAGAATTCATAGTTTGAAATATCTAAGGTCTTCGGCATTGGGTTGCAAAGACATAGGGATTAGAAAATCTGAGTTTGTGGCTATGACTCAAATTCTTTTCAATATTCCTGGAATGAAGTGTCATGAGGAATTCACAGAGTGCCTTATTAAACTATTTATCAATTCCAACAATGCCACAATTAGTATATTAGGATCATTTTAAATACAATAGAAAAAAAAATACTGAAATTTTGATGTTTCTTGTATCCTTGGCCATATTCTTGCTTGTTTCTTCCATTAAAACAAATTATTTAAGTACCGCTGTGATTTGTTAAGGGCACTATTGTCAATTGTAAGAATCTTCGATAATAATTTTATTAATAAAACATACAGTGATAACCAGAAAACTGTAGAATATAAAAACGACATAATGCAATACTAAAGTGTATTTGATGTTGTTCCTAAGCAAAAAGCCTCCCATGTAAGTTATTAAATCACTAATTAAGTGAGCTGGGTCTCTTTACACTGCATTATTGCTGTACCTCATGTTGATTGGACTTAGTTAAAGTCATATCTTGAGTCTAAAAGTCGACTTTCTATTCCAGAGTTTTCTGGTTATAACTGTATTTTTATCAAAAATAATGTTCATCAAAATAAGATACAATTATATTTACAGATTAATAGCATTAGCTGATGGTTTAATTGAAATAAGGCGTTATTCCTTTGATTTAGATGTTTTTATGTTTGGATTTTTCTTGTCTTGGTTTGGAGTTTGCTCATTGTTTGGTTATTTTCTCTTGGTTTGGAGTTTGCTCATTGTTTGGATTTATTTTTTCTTGCTTTGGAGTTTGCTTATTGTTTGGATTTATTTTATCTTGGTTTGGAGTTTGCTTATTGTTAGGATTTTTTATCTTGGTTTGGAGTTTGCTCATTGTTTGGATTTATTTATCTTGGTTTGGAGTTTGCTCATTGTTTGGATTTTTTTATCTTGGTTTGGAGTTTGCTCATTGTTTGGATTTTTTTATCTTGGTTTGGAGTTTGCTCATTGTTTGGATTTTTTACATGGTTTGAAGCTTGTTCAAGTTTTGGCACTTTTTTCTTAATTTTGAATTCTGTTCAGTGTTTAAATTTTGTTCAGGGTTTAAATTTTGTTCATTTTTGTTCTTTCATCCTTAGTTTTGAAGATTTCATTTGTTCTCTATTTCGATTTAAAGGTTTTGTTTGATAAAAGATTAGATTTTTTCTTACATGAAAGGTGTTGGTTTAATATTATTTATTGTACATTCATTTTATTTAATGTAATATAATATACGTAAATTTTAAAATTAGTTTGAAATGTTAAACTAAAGATTTTCTCAAAGTTTGAATTGATTTTGAAATAGAATTTTGTATCATAAATTTCAGATTCAATTTTTGGTAAAATTCTCGGATTCAAGGTTAGCTTTATTTCTGGATTCAAGGTAAGCTTTATTTCTGGATTCAAGGTTAGCTTTATTTCTGGATTCAGTTGTGGATTAAATGGTTCTGAATGACGCATATGTCGCAGCCAAATTTAGAATTGTTAATTTCTTTGGATTTCTTGGGAAATTTTGATCTGGCCTCTTCATGTTATTTCTTCTCTCAGCGCCTTTAAAAAAAAAGATAATTTTGGACGAAAATGTAAATGATTAAAAATAAATCAAAACAATGAATTGGACTGCCTTTTTTAAGTGACCTTCTATAAAAGAATTACAAGCCAATTCACAACGGTACCCTTAATACCTTGATCGTATTATCGTATTCCTGTAGTAGAAAAGCGCAGTCATGTTACCCAACTATAAACATAGATATCTAAATCTTGACTTGACCAGAGAAAGGTTGGTACGGGTACCGGTGTGAATCAAGCATTGCAACCTTTGCATGGAAAAAGGAACTGAATACAGGAACGCCCAACTCAGATTGTGTGCTGTACACTGTGGGAGGAATGTAAACAAACCCAGGCCACAGAAGTTAAAGGGAAAGGACTTGAGCTCTGATATAATATTGCAGTCCAACAAAAAACAAGTTAATATATCAAGTTAGAGCGAATGCTTATGATTTTTGGCTTTCTGGTCAATATTGAAAATACAAAAGCAATATATTCGTATTCCACCCCTTGGGCCCTTTCCCTAAAAAATGATGCGTTGCCCCTGAATTCTTTGTTTTGATCTCCTGCAGTACACAAATTTGACGCATGAGATATGGCGGTTCCTGGTCTATATATTTCTTGGCATGGCAGGTCATTCAAAACTACGTTAACAGTCACTTCAAGTATTTTTTATTAAAATCATCGCTTACCCATTACACCATGAAAAGATGGCTGCGTACATTCTAAAAGCAAAGCTGCTCGCTCTTCTCTTCCATTTTGTTGCTGTGGGTTCCGGTTCTGAAAAGTTTAAAATAAAATTTCTAGGATTAAAGTGTTATAAGTTAATACCCAGTAGAATGGTTTTGAAAGTTTTTTGCTTCCGAATAAATAAATGTGAGAGAAAAATATATTATTTGAACTTATGCAGAATCATGCATTTAGGCACTCTTTTAAATGGAAAACCTTAAAGCAAATCATTGTTGAAAGTACAACTTACAGGATGGGAAGCCATTGTTTCAATAATTAGTTTGAAATTGGTTTCAGAGAAAAACAGTGATGGCTCACAAAGGTCGTCTCCTTCTTTATGTCGTATCTTTCCTGTTTTTCCTGTCTATCCTGTTTGTCCTGTCTGTCCTTTATGTCCTGTTTGTCCTGTCTGACCTGTCTGTCCTGTCTGTCCTGTCTGTCCTGTCTGTCCTGTCTGTCCTATTTGACCTTTCTGTCCTGTTTGTCCTATCTGTCATGTTTTTCCTATCTGTACTGTTTGTCCTATCTGTACTGTTTGTCCTATCTGTTCTGTTTGTCCTATCTGTTCTGTTTGTCCTTTCTTCCTGTCTGTCCTGTCTATTCTTACTTTTTTCTCGCATAGACATGAGCCCTAGATTTTCTGTGTCTAATCGTCGGGCAGCCTCTACTTTGGCCTTTTCAATGATATCCTAAAAAAAAAAATTGGATCCCATCAGCAGATATAGCAAGAAGTGCAATAAAAATTGGCATCCCATCAGCAGCTATAGCAGGAAGTAAAATAGAAATTGGGATCCCATCAGCAGCTATAGCAGGAAGTAAAATAAAAATTGGGGATCCCATCAGCAGCTATAGCAAGAAGTGCAATAAAAATTGGCATCCCATCAGCAGCTATAGAAGGAAGTAAAATAAAAATTGGGATCCCATCAGCAGCTATAGCAGGAAGTAAAATAAAAATTGGGATCCCATCAGCAGCTATAGCAGGAAGTACAATACAAATTGCAACTAACTAAAGACGGAAAACGGAATAAAAATCCTTTAAATATATTTTTTATTAAAAGTCACAAAATTTCACGGCGAAAGTGTCAAAATGAGAGTGCTAGGACAAAAAAACTAAAGGGGGGGGGGGCGCAAACGCCCCCCTGTAATTTTTTTGGGGTAAACAATGAACCCCTTTATAATTTCAAACATGCATCGTTCCAAGGTTACTCATAATTATTCCCGCCGTTTACCCGCACATGGTCTTAAATTACTATTTTTGCTATTTTTCGACCCACTCTACTTAGAATCTCAAAGCAAAGCTATACGAAAATAGCCATGGTTCTCCAGAGTTTTCCAATCTAAATTTTAGGAAAGTTGGCCATAGGGTTCAAGAGTTATGATCGGACAAACAAACAAACACCCATTAAGTTTTCTTCAAACTCCAAAAGGAAATGAAAGAATCAGAATTTAAGGTCAATATTCTTTTTCTTTTACTTTTTTGTCTAAAAATTAATATAAGTATTTTCCCGGAAAGGTTTAGAAATATAGTTTATCTTCCTTCAAAAACATTTTAATTAAATAATAGAAATATCCATTCTCCAAATATACTCTAATTGGATAATGAAAAATAGCCTTTTGTAAATAAATAAACAAGATGGGTGACAATAAAATGTAACAGAGTCAGTTTTCCCAAAATAAAATTGCGTTTAGATGCTATACGATTACAACTGTAGGGAACCAGGGAACCATTACAACTGTAGGGAACCAGGGAACCATTACAACTGTAGGGAACCAGGGGAAAGAAAAGAAATTTTAAAATACAAATTTTCTCAAATATACTTCTTTAATTATCAAGATACTGACTTTAACTTTAATTTCA